AAGCAGTGCTGACATCTTCTTATGCCAAACAGATTCATTTGCACTGAAGTTAATATGGTGGCAGGACAGGACAGGTAGCTGAAGTAAATATAGTGGCAGCAGAAACCAGCAAGTCTTCATGGAAAGGAATGAAATTCCTGGGTGATATATCCTGAGTCCCTCCTGACTGAAGCTCATGTCAGAGGTAGAGGAAACAGATCCCCAGATTCTACTCCCACCCAAACTCTGGAACCTCTGTCTGATAACCTGTGGCAGAGGTCATCCGATGATCTCTTGACAGTTTATGTTCACTTACAATATGTTTCTGATGGCGGCTCAGTAACCCAGCTCTATTGTTCAAGTTGGAATCTGAGAGGTTCAAATGCAAACATTTCCTTGGATGAGGCTCTGAAATGGCCAAGAAAATAGAAGATGCTATATTATTGCCTCACAGAACAGAGAGTAATAGATGTACCCCCATGTACTGAAAAAGGAAGTTCTACTACCCATTCGAATAAAATATTTTTTTTGCTGAGACCGTGAAGAGGTAAGTTTTTACAAAATTGTTTCTTACTGAGCCTCTTGTAGGCTGTCATAAAATCTTGATAATTATTAGACTCAGAAGTTGCTGTTTTCACAACTATCTGTGCTACCTCAAGTAGGGTAGAATGCATGTCAGTATAATTGATGTGAGTTGGAGAAATAGCATAAAATTCCCTAACTTGGATATGGACTGCATAGGTGGCAAATTGCACATACCTAACCACTCATCTTTGATTCTGAGCTATTATTATCTCTGGAAAAAGGAAAATTTTTTTACTCTATTTTAAAATTTCTATTGCTATGCCGCACCACTTAAAAGCTCTAAGCTAGCCTCATCATTTTTTTAAGATTTATTTATTTATTCATATAGAACTGGGGTACAGGCCAGAGAAGCAGAGGGTGAGAGGTTTCACCAGAGACAGAGTGGGGTACAGAACAGGCAGATCTACGAAGTACACTGCTGAGGGGAGCAGCGGGCGGGTCAGGAGAGGTCTGCCGTGCCATGTTGATCATCTCCCAGGCAGGCGGGGATCGAACTCATGCGGAAGTGGCTTAAGATTCTTAGTGCTGTGCTTTAACCCACTGCGCCACCAGGGAGGGCCTCATATTGTTTTGTTTTTTTTTTTTTTAATATTTAAGTGCTATAAAATGATGGTAGTGGAAATAAAGATTACACTTTCTTTTTCAGCCGCTAAACTAGCTAAAAAAGTCAACCTACCCATTTCACAAACTGTAATATGCTTTCTGGTGTTGCAGGAAAAATAACTATATTGTCAGTTCAATGTTAATTTATTTAAACCCTTCCAAAATGCAACCTTATGTATAGAAACAGGAACCTAGTTCTGTCTCAAATATGTTCACCCCAAATCCAAAAGGGACACCCCCTTTTAAGTGGTGCCTCACTTAAGCTGGTATTTTACAAATATTCAAAATGCTGTGCTCTTACTTGACGGTCCATTCTTATGACACTTTTTTCCTATAAACTGAGTGTTTGACAAAGTCACTGGAGCTTTCTTATAAGTATCACTTGGCAGCAGGGATGAGACATTACTTCATTTATATGATACCATTTTCACTGCAGATGTAATGTGATCGCATCTTCATATTTATCCAAGTGTACCCTATAGAAACATTAGTCTTAAATTGGATGGATCTTAAATGTATAGATATTAATAAGAAATCAACCATAAATGTCCAAGTCTCATTGTGAGATTTCTCTAGTAAAGTAGAATTCTCCTCTTGCTTAGTGGAGAGAAGGTGATGAGCCCTCCACCTCATCTCTGATTTTATCTTAGTATTACATAGTGGTCTTCATAGTGAGAATGTAAATATTGTTATTTGGTTTAAAATATGCTCTTAAAAGGTGCCTCAAAGCCCTGATCATATTTATCTACTGTAAATTTCTAGTCTAAAAGACTGTGTCTCTGGTAGGAATTTGTGGAAAGGCAGTGATATTGAGGATATAGACTAAGGTGACGTGCAGTGTGCACCTATCTCCACATTTGATACAGATGGAGACAGATGTCAGCCAACCAAAATAAATTGTGCATTGTACGAGAAAACGGCATTATACGTAAGGTGATTGTACCTGATCTTATATGGCTTCTAGACAGGAACAAGCAGATGCTCACCTTCCTTCCACAGTTTGTGGGCACACCAAACACCCCCAGGGAGGAGCCCCAGGCTCCCTGCTCTCTGGCCCCCCTCAGGCTCACACAGTGAGACAGCGACTGCCCCGTGTGAACATACAGGTAATTTGAAGGATCCTTATGCATTTTCCAGCTCAGTAAATGCCTGCTGAGAATTCCTGTTCACCCAATCCTGACAGTGTCCAAGGGGACCTGGAGCAAGGAGCCCCCCGTCATTCACGAGGGGTGTGACCCGAGTGCCTAGAACCACTGACAGAGCTGGCCCCGAGTGTGCAGGGTTCTCGTGACCACACACCTGTGATGAAGTTCAATTTATTAGTTGGCAAAGTATAGATTAACAATAGTAACTAACAACACCAAGAACAATTGTAGGAATATGCTCTAGTGATTGTTAACATTCTCTCTTGCACACACACACTCACACACACACACACACACACACACATACGAAGTCCTACAGCAAATCATATTTTATGACCAGAGTTGGCCATCCCGAAACCATGGACAGTGAATCTGCACTGAAGTGGTAACTACGGCCTGTAATTTCTAGAGAAATTTTATTACTGACTCCTTCTTGAGCATACAAGAAAGTAAAAAAAGTGAATTAAAACAATATTCATGCTAGCTCTTAGAGCTTCGTCTTATATTAACTGGGAGTGTGTAAGCTTTGTACAAAATATGTTTCAATCATGAATGAAAAAATAGCAGATGTGTAATAATTTATTTCTGGACTTTTGTTGAATATATTCACATTTTCTTCAGTTTATGATGCTTGTTTCATGGGTGGTGCAGGACTTAGGTCACGCAGATGTCATTCACCTAGGAAACAGTTGTAGCTCTCGGATGACAAATTTATAAGAAAACAAGATGTTTAGCTTAGTGAGATATTTGTGCATGTTAGTCTTAATAAGTGAGGAGATGTCTAGGAAGGAAGGAAATCCAGAATAGTGGGTATGTGGATGAAAGTTACTTCTTCATGGAGTTATTTGGTCACTGGACAGGGGGGAACTTAGGCTTAGTCAACTCCATTAGATCAGATTGTAAATAGCTCAAGGTTATAAGAGTTGTAAGAGACAGATTTAGCCCAGTAACAAGAAACTGCTTACATTGCAGTTGGATTATTGTTAGCTTTCTTCTTCTTTTTTAAAGATTTATTTATCCATGCCTACAAGAACAGAGGTATAAGCTAGAGGTGTGCGGGCTGAGAGGATTCACTAGAGACAGAGTGAGGAGCAGAACAGGCAGATTGACTGAAATCCATTGCTGAGGGGAGCCGCAGGGAGACAGGGGAGTTCTGCTATACCCTGTAAGTCAGCTCCTGGCTGGGGAATTGAACTCATGGTGACTACTGGCTGCAGACAGCTTCATAGTGCTGCGCTTTAACCCTTTGTGCCACCAGGGAGGGCCTTCCTTACTATTAACTTTTATGATGTCTCACTTTCTAGTTCTTTCTTGGAAGTTAATATGTAATAAGTACCAACCATAAGAAGTTCCTTTAGCCCAGGGTTGACTATGTTTTGTTATAACCTGAGAGACGGTAGAAGTATGGTAGAAGCTGAAGGTTAGAAAACAAATTCACAGGGAAGGCGATCACAGTCATGATCATGAAAATGCAGATTTTCTCCCCATGTGATTTCTTCTTTGGGGTGACCTGTTAGGTAGATGGCTGGCTGGCTGGATAAACAGATGGGTAGACAACTAGATTCGATTGAGAATTTCCATGTCCATGAAATTATTATAAGAATAAAACAAAATATATGTAAATTCATATGTTTAAAATGTATTATAGTGGCACTACATTTCCTAGAGACTGGCTAAAATATAATATATTCAATCAATTAAAATACTCAGTATCATATGGGTACATAAACAATTTTGGAGAGCAATATATTAGTATAGAAAACATGTTATGTAATTCTAAATGAAAGAAACATCAATACTGTTCTATTCCTGAAAATTGATTATATATAAAAGTAAATTGATGGCAAGTGATGGAATACTGAATGCACAAATTACTGATGATGATTACCTTTTGCCAACATTTCACTTTGTTAATCTTTTTGAATTTTATATTGTCTTAAGATGCTAGAAATTGATTTCAGAGCCTTATGTGAGCTTATTCTTTATTCTCATAATGAACCTGACAATTGAAACTATAATCTGTAAGTCTAAATTTTCCTAGGACCAGTTATTTCTAAATATGTATCAAAACAGAAAACAATTTAAGCAATAAGATCCTGGCATTATAAATATATTTCTTCTAAAAAGTAAACTATCTCATATTATTGATCTCATTTTCTAAGATACTAATGTTAATTCAGTAAATAAACTTGGCTTTGCAAAAGACGGGAATAAAGATATAGTAGGGTTATACAAATACGTTTAAGAATCCATCACCCCTAAACAGTTTATACACTCCCCCAAGTTATATGCTTTTCAAATTAAAGAAGGCAATTAGAAAATTGGCTAGTATCAGAAAATTCAATGAAATCAATCGATTATTGCTTTGAAATATGAATCTCTACTAAAAAGTAATGTATAGAAATGACTGATTCCAACCCGAAGCAGATAATGTACAGAGGGAGCCTAGAATAGCACCGTAAGTCAGAAGAAAGTACCTAAACATTATGTATCCATAATTTTATAGCACAGAAGCCTGAAACGTATCATCCTGATAATCCTGATTCATGAAAAATTCACAGATTTTAGGGATAAACTGGTATTGTGTCTATAATTTACCCTGAGTTAGGTCAAGACACTTCAACTTTCATTGACCTCCAGCTCTGGCTTTTCTATCACATTTCAGTCCTGGACAAACTGTCACTCAGGATGGGGCACAACCAGTCGTGGGCCCCCGAGTTCATCCTGGTGGGGTTCCCCCTCGGCGCGGACATGGAAGTGCTTCTCTGCGTTGTCTTCTCCCTGCTGTATGTCTCCAACCTGCTGGCCAACGGCATGATCTTGGGGCTCATCTGGCTGGACGTCAGGCTGCACACCCCCATGTACTTCTTCCTTTCTCACCTGGCCGTCATTGACATGTCCTATGCTTCGAGCAATTTGCCCAAATTGCTGGAAAACCTAGTGAAACATAAAAAAACTATCTCCTTTGCCTCATGTGCTATGCAAATGCTTTTGTATTTGGCTTTTGCTTCCACCGAGTGCCTGATTTTGGTGGCGATGTCCTATGACAGGTACGTGGCCATCTGCCAGCCTCTCCACTACACGGTCATCATGAGCTGGAGACTGTGCACGGTGCTGGCCATCACTTCCTGGGCTTGTGGCTTTTCATTGGCCCTAGGAAATCTAATTCTTTTTCTGAGATTGCCCTACTGTGGGCCCAGGAAGGTGAACAACTTTCTCTGTGAAATCCTAGCTGTTCTCAAAGTGGCCTGTGGGGACACTTGGATCAACAAACTTTTTGTCCTTTCTTCAGGTACATTTGTCTTAGTGGGGCCCCTGTCCTTGATGTTGGTCTCCTACACACGCATTCTCTTGACCATCCTGAAGATCAAGTCAAAGGAGGGCCGCAGCAAGGCCTTCTCCACCTGCTCCTCCCACCTCTGTGTGGTTGGGTTTTACTTTGGCATCGCCATCATGGTGTATGTGGCCCCAGACAATGGCCACCAAGATGAGCAGAAGAAAATCCTTTCCCTGTTTTACACCCTCTTCAACCCACTGCTGAACCCCCTCATCTACAGTCTGAGGAATGCCCAAGTGAAGGCTGCCCTCAATAGAGTATTGCAGAAGCAGAGGGTGCTATAAAGGTTGTTTACTTGTGCAATAAAACTCAAGAAATTTTCCCAATTAGAGATATTGCTGAAGAATGACAATTCTTCAGGGGTATCACCAGTAAGATATCAAAATGGGAATCTCCAGGCCATTTTTTGTCCATGGAGACAAAATATGTAGGCCAAACCCCCTTTTTGAAAATAGCAGAAATCATTTTTTACTTTGTTGAAGTCATGTTGGTTTACGACACTGTATGTGACTCAATGGAGCAGGATCACACCTATTCTGATGTATGTCAGCACCCCACACCCACTGCGAGTGCACCCACAGTGCCCCCCCCCCACAGCCCATCGGCTCACTGTCCCTACCTCCCATCCCTCAGGTATCCTTAATTCTGCAATCAGATATGTAGAGTGTGTTATTCATTTAATTTTGACTGACCCTTTCTACTGCTTGTCAATATTCCACATATAAGCAAAATCACGCAATATTTGTCTTTTCCCGTCTGACTTATTTCCTTAGCATTATCCCACCCAGTTTCCATCCATGCTGTCACAACTGGCAAAGTTCATCTTATTTATTGGTGAGGAGTTTCCATGATAGAAGTACACCACATCGTCTTGTCCCCCACATCTACCCAGGCCTATACAGATTGTTCCAGAACTCAGCTATTGTGATGGTGCCGCTGGAAGGAAGCATACTCCAGACAAGCACCAAGCCAGAAGAGATACATCAAGG